AAACTTTACAACATTAAACATCGCATCTTTAGCTTATAGAAGGGGTTGGCTTTTTTAACGGAACCCAAAATTTGAAATTAAATACAACAAATAAATAAAGACATATTTTACACTAGCAGTCATTTTTAATCATACTAAAATTATAAAGATACAGAGAGATTTAAGAGAGCTTTATTTCGTGAATATTTTTGAAGAGAGTTGCCACCGTTTTAGAAATGAATAATCAATTTAATTAACAAGTTAAATGAAATAGCTTTAAATATATGGATATCGAGAAGAGAGTTTTTTTTTTTGAAAATATTTTTGACGAGTGTTGCCACCTATTTAAAAATTCAAAACCAATTAAATTAACAAGTAAATTACATGTTTTAATCCGGGAGTCAAACGAATTGAGTGTAACAAAGCTTTATTGCAAACACATCTTTGTGTAAAGTTGGCACCTGTTTGGAAGTTCACAATCTATTCATTTACTAGCTCAACGAAATTTTTCAATATGGGTATCACACGAAAGATGTTAAAGAAAACTTTTTTTGAAATTTTTTTGAAGATGGTTGCCACCTGTTTAAATAATTAACAAATTAAATTAAATATTTTAATATGGTTAAAAATTATTATTTCAACATGTTTTTGAGGTTGCCACCTGTTAGTAATTTCGAATCAATTTAACTGACTATTCGAATTAAATATTTTAATATAAGTTGCGATCCCGTACGAGTCCGGACTGGTCAGAAATAGTCAGAATCAGTCAGATTTTACTGGAAAGCGATCCGGTACTCGGTTCTCTGACCATTGAGAGGACAAAAAAGAGAGTAAATACGGTTTTATCTCTGTCAGAAGTTACTAATTTTAGTCCGAGAATTTTTTGCTGGTAAATTCTTGTAAATGTGTCAAACGATCAACTATAGTGTGTTTGGCAACCAGATTGTAAACAAAACAAAAGTGCACTGTGCTAATTCATGTTGAAAAGTATTTAATTACTTGTTTAAATGGATTCTAATGAATTTGAATATATTTTTGGTTATTTACATGTGTGAGCTGAGTGTGTTTACATAGAAAATAAGCAAAAATTTACAACCGAAACTTGGAGTTATGTTGAAGTTGACAGAAGCTACCATTTTTTATTAGAAAGCGATCCCGTACTTTTCAATGTTACTCTCTCGCTCTGAGCGAATTTTTATTTTTTGACAGTTTTACGAGTTTTAGTTCGAGGAATACGGGATTGCACCCATAAAGTTAACTTTATTTATAAAACAGCACGGATGTTGCCACCAGTTTAAAAATTCTAGTTCAATTGAATTAGTCGATATATGAAGATTTATAATATATGTAGGTGTTAAACGGAAGAATTAAAGAATTTATTTTTGAAAAGAGTTGCCATCTGTTTTAAAAGAAAATTTTACGAGTTAATTAGTTTATTGAAATATTACATCGAGGTATTATGTATGTATTTATTATAAACGAAAAAAGATGCTTTATAATAATTTTGAAACGATTTTTATAAGAGCGTTGCCTTATTTTTGAACTCAAAAAAAAAAATATCTGCCCATTATTTTCACGTGCAGACAATTTTCTACGCATAATTACTACAACCTCAACTCTTCTTCTATGCCAGTTGCCGCTCATTAATTGAAAAATTGCATTACAGTGTACGGCATTTGTGAAACTAGGAGACAAATGTGAAAGCACAACTCATTAAAAATTTGACACAAAAATTTATTAAAGCGACACAAAAGCGAACTAGTGTACGTATGTATGTGTGAACATGTGCAAGTCTAAATACAGTACACGAAAAAACTCAAAATAGCAAAAGACACAAGCAAATGCAGCAGCTTAGTTGGTTGCACGAAGATGCAAGTACAAAAAAAAACTGCCTGAGAAAGACTGTCGCGTGCGAAACAGGGCATTCATTTACATTCACTTAACGAAAAAAAACTAAAAAAAATTACGTTGACATAAATACAAACGGGGCATACTAGTACAAATAAAAAACAAACAAATGAATTTCGAGCAGCGTAAAAGCTTGTATAGCGTCAAAAGAGATAAGTGCAACACAACGTTGCAACTTGGATACATAGCAGGCAGAAAAACAGGCGCGTAAATTAAAATAATGTGCACCCACCAGCGTTGCAATAAAAAGAGAGGAGGCAAAAAGTATTTTAATTTTCAAAAAAGTAAAACAAGTATTTTTTTTTTAATTTATTGTAAATTGGCAGCAACAGCAGCGAAAAGTGTCTGGCAGTCAAGGCAATGTATTGCGGCTCATATGAAGCAATACAAACATATCTGTAAGCTTACATGCATCAACATTTCCTACACATCGCGTGCAATTATTTGATGCTGCGGCGTTGACCTCGCTTCTGCCTCTTCAATGCGTTCACCCTCAAGGCTACAGTGTGTTGCAATTCAGCTGTATCTGGTGGAAAAGGCATTACTGTATGAGAAGCTTACGACAACTAATACACCTCTCCTCGAAGGCTCATCTGTCAGTCTTTCCCTGCAAATTGTCGGTCTGGCAGCTTCCCAGCGATTCCTACTCTTCTGACGCTCTTTTCAGTCCGGCAGCAGCCAAGTTTTTCTATTTGTTTAAATAAATACATATGTATATTTTCCGTCCTCTTGCCGCAACGTCATGCCAAATAAAAACACGCGAACACCGCCGATAGACAGTGGCTGCTTGGCCTGCCTTGCATTATAATCTCTAGCAGCGACTCTCGCAAGCATCCACCCACCAAGCAAACCAGCTCGAATTATCATCAATGAGAGTCTAACACTTCAGCAGCTGTACTCTCAATTGAATTGTGGCGTTGCATTGTCTCGTTGCAATTTTAACGTTGAAGAAGTGGAAAAAAAACGCTGCCGTGCCGACATTTTTTTGTTTTTTGTTTTACACCCACTGATATTTTTTATTTTAATTTTTTTTGTGAATCGCCATCAGTTCTTTTGTATGCGCGGCAGCTCTGTCGGTGCGCTTCAGTTGTTTTGATGTATGCGTTTGACAGACTCATTCCTTTTTATGACATAAATGCGGTTTTTTTTTGGTTGTTGTTGCTCATTTATTTGGTGCCTCTTTTTTATAGTAATAATTTCTTCGCTCTGTGTTTGTTTTTTTTTGTACCCCGAACATGCATTTTTTGTGTTCATTTCTTTGATAATTGCTCACTTTTTGTAAGTGACAGCTACTAATGAGCCCTCAAAAATAGCAACAAATAAAGTAAAATGCTGTCAGTTTTGTGTTTGGAAAACTTTGTCATAACTGTCTGGTTTTTTGTAAGTAATTTTTTTTTATTTACATAGTTTTCAGAAAAAACTCCCTACTTACTTACATACATGAGGGCGCCTCATCTAAAAAAGTTGCGGCATTCAACCGGAATTATAAAACTTATTATATTCGAAGCTTCTACTAAGATATTTAAGCAAAATATTAGGCCTTAGTTAGGCAGACCGATTTGAAAATATGTACCTATAAAAGCCTTAGTTTTTTTAATCCGTTGATAACTTTTTAATAATATTTATGCAGACCTTTATACAAAATTTTTTATTTATGCAGACCTTTTAAGCTTAAATATATTTATAATCTGAAGTAATTTTTTTGGAAAATTTAATTTTAAAAACCACACAAAAAACTTGTTCTTTTGTGTGCTGATCAATTTTATTTACACTGCGCCTCAAAAGTATTTTTGTGTTGCTACTCCCTCCCAAAATTCGTATGGCTTCATTCATAAAAATAATATAGATTTGAAGAGCTTTATGAAGTTCGATTTCCAAACAGATTTTCGATTTATGAAACACATTTAAGTTTTTATGAATAAGAGTATTAGTTATTATATTTTCGAAGGTATTTGATCCTAGAAATTTAATTTGTACTATTATAACTCAATTCTATATACCGTGCACTTTCCTCAAAGCTACATTAATTCTGTATTTACCTTATCGTATCACTTTAACTGAATACAATTTTTCAAATAGGTGGTAACCCACTGAAAAAATAGTTTCGTTTGCAAAGTTTCTTAGACCTCTTTTGTTTTATACCTATATTGCAATATTTCACTTATTTTTACAATTTAATAATTTAAAAAAAAATTCAAACAGATGCCAACCCTCCTCAAAAGTATTTTTGGCAGTTAACTTTCCTAAATCTCTCTAGTTTGATACCGATATTGAAATATTTAATTTATCTTATCAATCAAGTAAAAATTTTCAAACAGGTGGCAATCTTCCACAAAAATATTTTTGTCTGTAGGCCTTCAAAAAAACTCTTTATTTTGACAGCCATACTGCGTTATTTACTTTATCTTATCAATTAGCTTACACTGTTACTTTGAGACAGGTGGCAACTCTCTAATTATTTATTATCGATATTTTAAATTAGACCTTTACCAGTGCATTGGTGAAAACTGCATTCAATCCCAATTATTAGTTTTCGAGTGATGCGCGTACAAGCATACAGACAGACAGACGAAAATTCTAAAAATTGTTGATTTGGCTTCTGTTGCTCTAATAAAGACCCCCATACTAGGCTTACTTTAATATCTATAATGTACAGACACTTTTATTATACATATGTATGAGTTTCGTTACTTTTATAGGCTTGGTTGAAAAACAAACCGATTTGTGGAAGTATTTTCAAATCGCTTCAGCTCACATGAATCTTTATATGTTTTCGAAATATTTTGGCGGAAATCTTAAAATATAATAAATTTCATATTGTGGTGGATAAGAAAACCGATTTTTCACATTGAGCGCGATTCACCCTAATGTACATACATTAAAAAAAATATTTTTCTTTCCCAAAAATGTTCTAAGTAAACTGTTTTTTGAAAACCACACCACTTCTATTTATTACACACCTTTGTGTTTCTTAACCCATTTGTCATTCAAATTTTGTCTTCTTTTCTGACCTACATAAATAAATTTCCATCATGTACCTCGTAGTACATTTTTTGTAACCAAAATGTTGTATCTTATTTTTCTAATTATAAGTTCTTCTCTTTCTCTTTTAGCTACATGCAAACAACCACTGGGTATGGAGTCTGGTGCAATTACAGATGCTCAAATAACTGCCAGCTCAGCGCATGACACAGGCTTCGTTGGGCCGCAACATGCAAGGTAAGACCAAAGATTTTTTTTTTGCAGATAGTCTTTTTCAGCTTTTTTTTTGGAAGCAAACTATGTACTAGCGTTGCAGTTTCAGAAAATCGGGACAGTTTGATTTTCGCGCATTCGAAGTGCCTTATAGGGGTCACACACGATGCGTCTCACTAACCAGCCATTTTTATGTTGTTTGCTAAGGTAAGGTTGCGGAAAGCATAGATCTTAGCTTGAGAAACTCTGCGATAATCTTGAAGTCTGATATCTTTCTCCTTTGAAAGTTACTGGGTAAACGGGGTTAGGGCATATGTACATACATAGCTCCACAGCCTGGAATAAGGTACAATTGACGCTTATGCATAGATCCTCATTTAGTTGGAAAATATTGGATAATAGATTCTTGGAAATTGATGAATAATTCAGCTTTTTATTCATCGCTTTGTTTTCCTTTGTGTGCCAAGAGATTTTGGCCGGTAAACTCGTCAGTTTCGCAATGTCAGTTTGATCCCATATACTACGAATACATGTTCTAATTCCAGCATATTCCGACGCAATTAGTAGAGAGTTAGGGTACTTTTTGCCCAATTTTGAGCGCCCCGTTAATTTCCTTGGTTGGGTTGATTGGTTGAAGTGGCGAGTTTAACAATTAGCACAGTACTCGCAACTTAACTTCAAAGGAAAAGACGAAAAGAAAACAGCAGCTATTTCTCTCAAATCCAGCATGTGAAGCTCAAGAACCTTAAGTAGTTGCAGTGGGTTAATATATATCCGTTAAACTCCTAGAAGGCTGATTCTAGTCTTACATAGTGCTGGCCAATTACAGAGCAGATGCTCCATGGTTCCTTCTGCATCTGGTGAATTACAGCTATGACAAGAAGGATCCAGTTCCAAAACGCTTTCGACAGAAGCAGCATTTTGATACGAAACAAAATGGTCTTGAAAGATAAAATAAAACCCCTTTCACGAAAAAATTATTGCCATTGAGCCACAATTACGCCTTGACCTTAAAAAAATTGGTCAAAAGTTGTGTTCTTCGAAAAAAAACATGCAAAATCCACGGGATTTATTCCAAAACACAATATGTATATATTTTTTATTATACTAGTATTATAGATTTTGAGACGAGAAACACGATTCCACTGTTCAAAATTCGAAAACAAATGTCAACCTCTCAATCTGAAAAATGCATTATATATTGCATTTTTTATGATTTGCATGCAGCTGCGCATCCTTCACTCAATTTTATATCGCTCTAACAATAAGTGCACGTCAAGGCCTTTAATTTGAGCCCAGGTAGAAGGCTTTAGGCCGTCCAAGAGCCAAGTTATAACAATTTTAAACCAAACTTCGAAACTGCTGTGTTTTTACTCCGAAATTAGAAAAAAATTGCGTTAAATGTCGAATGAAATTTCACAAGCTTAACAATATAGGTCTCTACCTTGGCTTAAATTAAAGGTCTTGAATAGCACGAAAACTGACTTGTTGTTCGAGCGATATAAAATTGTGTGACAGCTGCATGCAAATCATAAAAAATGCAATATATAATGCATTTTTTAAATTGAGAGGTTGACATTTTTTCACGTTTTTTAAACAGTGGAGTCGTGTTTCTCCTCTCAACATCTATAATATTAGAATAATAAAAAGTACAAAAAATTATTTTTCTTGTATGTATCCGTTGGATTTTGCATGTTTTTTTTTTTCGAAGAACAATATTTTATGACGATTAATTCGCATCAAGTGTTAAAAAAGCACACTGTGTGCCGTCGAGTTAGCTCGAATATCTTATTTTTCAGTCGAGAAATGCAATTTTGCAATACTAAAATTACAACGGTATATTTTTCTCAAAAACATATGACTGAAAACATTCGAATTATAAAATTATAATTCATTTATAAACAATGTATAATAAAATAAAATGTCTCTCATACTTGGGCGTTCAAAATTTTTTATTATCATTAACCCCCCCCCCCCCCCAAAATCGGGTTCACGATCCGGCTCTGGTAGAGAATAAGGTGCCTGAGGACATTTCAGAGAGTGATCCCTGTGGTCGGATCGAAATCTGAGATTTTGCGGTGCCCAGCAGCTGAGTTTTCTCGCAGTCCGGTTTCCTTCAGCCTGAGGCAGTTTTGGCTCAGAGTTTCCTATGTATTTTATATAAAAAAAACTAATTTCAAAGAAACTGTATATAATTATTCTTTCTCTACAGCAGACTTTCAATAATATTCCCCAAGGGTTTATTTAAATTATTTTTTTTTAAACCAACGAATTTTTATGGGTCTCCCATTGCATTTTGTGGGTTTTTTTGGTGGACCTAAAAATGACAGTTAAATACTATTAAAAATGGTTAAATAACGTATTGGATATTATTAACGAAAGTCGCTTGAAGAAAAACCGAATTTTCCGATCCAAAAATATTCTTTTTCAAAAATTCTATAGATACCATAAATATTAAAAAAATAAAAAATAAATATTTTTTTCCGTTATAGAACAATCCTATGTGTGAGAGCATTAAAATCACGACTTTACTTTTTATTTTGGACCACCCTAGTATGCATGCATACATCCCTATATAATTTTTTTCGAAGCGAGAAATTCCACTCCACATGTCTCTTGCTGCCTTTGCTTTCGTCTCAAGTTTCTGAAAAAGGATACCTGTAAATACACTTCAATTTTCTCCCATCTCGTTCAACTTCGTAATTAAGCAGCTGCTTTGTATAATTTACCATAGACGCTTTTACAAAGTTATCCTAGACTAATTAAAAACATTAAATGACCTGGGAAATGTAGTTAAAAGAAAGAAAGAAAAAACAACAAATAAACCTATTAAATGGCAGCTACACAAAGGCAACGCCGAAGGAATACAAAACCGAAGAAGGAAAAGAAGTCAAACAATATCAGATGAAAAAGGCAAAACTCTTTAATATTGTAAAGCATTAACACCTGTCGGGAAGGATAGGTTTGTAGCCAGTACATTTTTCACATAGTTAGTAGGTAACTCTCGCCCAATTACATACGTATACTTACCACACAAAACGACGACCGCAGCAAAGGCGAGTTTGTGGTGAAAACAAAACCGGAAGTGTCAATGAACACCGGCACGCGGCAACAATGTGCTGATATACTGAGAAATGAAGAGCAAAATTAAAAGAAAAGGAATAATTAATGAAAAAGAAATTAAAAAAAGAGTAAGTACGTGGTTAGAGGGCTCGTACTCAAACAAAGTGAGTAGTAAGTGTAAGTGGGAGTGCTAAAACGAAGGCTAAAGCGAAAGCAAAAGCAAGAAAAGTTGAAAAGTAATTTAATTGCTAATTTCATGAGAAAAGCCACCACCCAAGTTCATTAACGGCAGCATTGTGGTTGCCTTTGTAACTGTTGTTTTAAAATTTACACAACATTATCTAAGAAAAGCAACACTTTTGAAGAGTGGCGTCAATGCAAACCGAAATGAGAATACTTACGTAAACAAAAACAAAAGCGGTCAACCGGCCATTGGCAGCAAATTAAATATTTATTTGGACTGATAGCCAGCCAAGTAATTTAAATAAATGGATTCAGCGTCAGCGCGTCGCAGCTACTCGTAAATGTAAAGAAATATTGTGAATAAAGTTTTATTTAGAAAAAAAGCCGTTTCGACAGCGTAGCACTTCAGGGCTCAGACAGTGGCTACTGGCTAACATGCAACACATTTTTGCATAATTAGTTAGTTCTCGTTTGCATTTTAATGTTCACGAGTAAGTTGAAGTGTACGAAATTGGTTTGAGAAAGGAAAAGCTCCTGATATGTAAAATAGAATACGGGAAATTATAATATTTAATTTCCTTTGTAAACCAAAGCAAATACCTTTTATTGGGCGACCTGAAATACAGTCGTCTAATTCACTCAGCTTTCATTAGAGTCTGTAATTCACAACGGGCTTATATATAGGTTTACTTTTAATGGTATGTACTTTCAATTCTGGCTCCTTTCGCCGAGCAACATTATAAAACGTGATTGAAGAAAAATAGCTTGAATAGTCTCACAGCTTTTTTGGAAATGCCACTCTCCGATATTCTGATTCGCATTGAACAACTCGAAAGCGCTCCTTTTCTAAGTCTTTCACTAACTAGCCTAATAACTGCATTACTAACTAAGTCCTGTGCAAAACTTGAAACTGTAACTTGATATATACAGAGTGCTTGTTAAGGCTTTCATCAAGGTGATCGACTAAAGAAAATTTGCCACTGAATAAGCCACAAGTTTCGCCTTTGCGAAACAAACAGCTGACCTCGTGCAAATGAGCCACTTAAGAATTTTATTGTGGCCCAGTGCTTTGTAGGCTTTAGCTCTTTTGGGCGCGGAGGAAGAATGCAGTACTTCAGAAATAATATCTAGAATTGACGTAATTTTCACTGTGGGAGTTTTTACGCCATCAACGTGAATTTCCAAATCTGACCTCCTTCAGCCAGGTGGTAAATATGCTTGGCGAGGATTTTGTGAGCGAGAGGAGTAGCTCCTTACTGTGAAAGAGAACGCCGCTTGCTTTCGATCCAATGCCATTGCCGGACGCCAATATCGAGCAGTCGACAGCTTATGAGTTTACAGAAGTAAAGTTTACATGTAAGTAAAGTAAAGTAAGTTAGTTTTGATAGGGTTTGATTTCCTTTAGTAGATTTTCGTTTAAAAAAGCAGTATACAAATCCATAAATATTTTCATAAAGTGAGATAATGTCATTTCACTTCAATTTAAATAATTAAACTAAAAAGTTATGATTATATAAAATATTTATATGCATATGTACATTAGGATGGCCCTTAGTTATATGGAGAAAAATAAAAGTGTTTCGATTCTCGGTCTCAACCCCTAGAATTGTGTGAATAGCCTAAAGACTAAACTATACAAAGTTTTAGGAAAATCGAAAAAGATTTAGGGATGGCTCAAAGCGCCCAAAGCTTCGCATGTATTTTGTGTGGCTAAAAAAACTATTTTTCGTAGAAATTGTATAGAATCGTTGAATAGCAATATTGGTCAGTCGGTAAAC